AATCACATGGCTAATAACTTATAAAAAATTTATTTAAATTTTTATTTTTAAGCCGTGCAATATTTTTGTCCCCCCCTGGTATATACCTTTATTAAATATTGAATTTGGCCAATTGTTGTTCACCAGCAGCAATTGGAGGGTATGTTTAAACGAAATGACATTAAAGTGCACGCAAATATGAGCAAAGAATTACAAAAATCAAGAATTATTCTTTCGGGTCCTGGTAATGAAAATGTAGAAATTACACAAGAAAAACTTCGAAAAGTCCACCAACATTTTAAAAAAAAAGAAAAAGTTGGAAATGAAAATGAAAGATCAATGTCAAGGAAGGAAATGGCAAATGCTATTTTAAGTTCTTTTTTATCACGTTAAACGTGAAAATTTACTATTTTCGTTATACTGTATAGTAAATTATTTGGATTGAAAGATTGATAAAATTTTTTTTGTGTAACGAGTCGATATAAATTTAATGATCGATAAAATGATCGACAAAAAAATCCTCAATTAGTGATCTACAATAGAGGGTTACACTATATTTGCGCTTAGACCGACATCGCACACCCCAATGATAGATAGATCATTAGCGTGAAAAAATGTTTAGTTATCCATAATTTTTATTATTTTAAAAGGTATTAATTTAATTTATTAATTGAAAGTGTTTAAATATATTATGTGATTATTTCAATTGTTTAAATGTTAATTCTGGCTAATAAATTACATAAAAATATGTTATTTGAACATTGTAAAACCCATCAGGTCGATGGTGAATTTTTTTTAAAAAAATTAAAAAATTTTTTTTTTCGTTTGATTGGTTAGATTGGTTTGATGTTAAAAAGATTTCTCCAATAAAGCGTGACAAAGATCTGTTTAGGATCCAACTCTTCCCTGATATCCATCCACTCCTTGAATTTAGGGTACAAAGATGGGATTCTCTTGTTATAATATTCAGGTTTATACTTGCCCCAATGGCAACGGAAAGTGTGCTTCTTTAGAATTTTCCAATAGTAATTATAATGCTCTTCTGGAGTGCCGCATGGATCTCCAAGATTATAAGTAAAATCAAAGCGTACCGAATCTGTTTCATAACTTGGGTTAAGCCAGAATGGGCTTTTCTTTGCGCAATAAATTTCTAAAAACATGTTGCCAATGGATTCAGGATGATTCTTGAAAAGTTGTTGCAGATCATTCATTACCTCCTTGGATTTGTCAAGCGGTAACCAAAACTCTGAAAAAGCGACTGGTAAAATTTTAGAGTCAAGCTTATCATCCATGGGTAAACCACTCCACCAAATATCCTGGAAACTTTGGGATCCGATCGGGTTGAAGGCAGCATACAGGAATACTGCGATCTTTTTAAACACCTTGTTTGGAGATTGGGCAAGCTTCAATACTTTAAGAATCAGGCTGGCGGCTAATTGTGCCGGAACCTGGCTATTTAATACCTCTGGAAATAACTCGTAAGGGTTAACCGGCAAATCCGTACCATCTACCTTTAGAATCTTTTTCGCCTTCCATATGGTCAAACGATCGACACCATCCTCAGGCCACCAGAGGATTCGATTGAATTCGGCATCAAAATCCATGCTATTGGAAAAGAAATCAAGAAGACTCGGAATTTGTTGATCTTTATCACCATCCCCAAACATATCAATCGGAGCACCGACATTAATGTCCCGCGATAAAGGCTTGATTGGGGATATCGTCTGAGTACCAGTGATGAAGAATTTCTTATCCAACTTGAAGGTAACTTTTGTAATTATTCCCATGAGACCCATTGAAACACCGACAGCCAAGAATTTGGAATTGTCAGTATCCGACATCTTGAGGTCGTGAATTTTACCGGTACCGTCGATGATTCGTATACCAATGATCGACTCAAAAAGGCTATGAATCACGCTACCGCCTGATGAACCTGTTGAAATGAAACCACCAACAGTTTGATGAATGATGCCGCCGGTGTGTGGTAACGAATAACCGCGCTGATTCAATTGGTAAAGTAGACCATTCTCGATGGTTGAGTCTTCATTTTCAGGATCTTGCCCAAGGTTAGTACCGGCTAAAGCAGTGGCGATTTTTTCTGCATCATTTATGACCACACCTCGGAATTTTGTTAGGGAGATTAATTTAGCTTTCACGTTTTTTGGGATATCTTTCGCGGTTAAAATCGCTGAAGGTAAAGAATGTGAAGCTCCAATGACTCGAACGATGGTTGGCTCTTTATCATTGTAAGCATCTTGTATGATCTTTTGAATTTCTTCCTCATTTTTTGGTTCCAAACGTTCGACTGAAGGAGGAATATGCAAATCTTTGAAACGCTGTTCTCTGGTTTCCATAGGCTTGGTAATTTTCCCAAGAAATTCATCAATTTCCTTAAGGATTGAACCTTTTTCATCCTTTTGATGATCTTCAAATTGATTAAGGGTATCAATTTTCTGTTTTATGGTATCCAAGGGATTCATGGTGAAAAAATTTATTTGATATTTTGTTTTTTCTTACTGTGTGAATTTATAAAGGAAATACCATGACAATAAAAGGAGTCATTATTTCAATAAATGAATTATTGATCTTATTGGTAAATCAATAAGTAACTCCGACAATAATTTTAAAATAAGTTATTTTATTCCATTAATGTTAATGGTTTAACAAAAAGTTATTTTTGTATACTTAATACAGTTTAGGAAATATACATAAATACTTTGTTTCCATTAAATAGATCATCTTTTTTCCGTGATATATATAGCCATGTGAATAAAAGGCATGATTATCCAACCGAATTTATTTGCCGGGTTACATATACTTATTAGGGGTAACATATAATTTGTGACAATTAGCACTTTTTATCAATAAAAAAATTTCTCTGTCCCCAGAATACTTAGTAAATTGAAGAACGAGCTGGGATGTGACGCAATGTGACAAATTTGCTAACCCCTTCAACTAATCCTAATTCTACCTTAATCCTAATCCAAACCTTAACTCTAATAATAAATACCCGGAAAAAAAAATCCGGCTACCATTTTTTCCGTTTGTCTGATCGTCCTGCTATATTTAGCGAAGCACAAGAAAATCATCGATTCATCAAGTGTTGGCAATTTGAATGGTTACCGTAAATTTGGGCAAATAAGAAATTAATCAAAATTAAGTAATTTTATTCTAATTTTAAAAGAATTTTCGCAATACATGCTTTTATTAAATAGATAAATCAATATATATATATATAAATAAAGTTTGTAATATACAAAATATCTTATCCCTTTATAATATTACATGTATTCAAAGATATCATGGTAATTAAAGAAAATAGATAAAGTCAAAACAACAAAAATACATACACTACCAAATATCCTACTTCTATTGATCATGGATGATATATTCAGTAATGAAGCATCTTCATCCTTATAAAAATCAACATTTTCTACAAATAATACATTCCTTTTACCTATTATATAGGAAGCCAAAAAGAAAAAAATTATGATTAGATACAAATTATTCAAAATATTATAAGAATACTTCCCAACAAGCAGTTCTTTTAATAAATATTTGTTCCACGCTTCTTCTTATTGAAATTAATACTCAATTTAGGATTAACAGCAAACATTTTCATCATCTTCAAAATTATTGATGTTACCTTCTATATAAATTTGATGTACACCATAATCAAAAGTCCCCATTTCCTTCTCATAAACTCCTTTATTCGAGGCTGCAATGTCATGCCAATATAATATTCGTTGATTATTTTTGTCCCAAATCCATTTACCACTACTAACTTTAACCATAAAATCATTCTCATTATCAAAATGATATCTTGGTAAATAGATTTCAGTAGGAAATTCTTTTGGTGGATCATTATACGCGTTACGATATGAATAAGAAAAATTTTTTGTCCATGGATCAAATTTTAAACTCAACGGTTCACCATATGTTTTCAATGGAAATGGACGAAGTAAACTAAATAACGCCCTACCACCGAGATCAAGGTCTTCGTTATAATTTTTTGTTGTAAGAGGATCAGTTAAATCGGTCGTATAAATTGACAAATCTTCCCCATTCCATTGATCTCCCCATTGATGATTATTATCATCACAATAATTCCACAAGGTATAAGAGAGTAAATTGGCTTCTAGAGCGGTAAAGTTGGCATCCATGGCTTTGATTTGTTGAATATAATTTCCCGTTTTGTAAGCTTTTCCTTCTTCCATATCGAAAGGTATTCCGATCTCACCAATTAAGCATGGTATATTATTTAATTCTCTCTCCCCTTCACTTTTAATTAATTTCAACTGCTCAGCAAAACTTTGCTTAATCGCATCCTCTCCTACTTTAATCGCGGGCAAGTAACCAAAATATAAACCTCTTTTAATGCCCAAGTAGTCAATGTTCCACCAATTAAATTGTTTTTGTACTAAAGTTAATCCGTCATACCAATGTGGTGCATAAATTAATCTTTCTTGTGGGTCTTCTGAATCATCGAATTTAGGCGGAACCTCAAGCACGGGTGGTTGTACGAATATTATAGCATTAGGTTGAATCGAACGCAAGGCGGAAGTATATTTTCTTATAAATGGTTTAAAACATTCTTCGATCCAATTTTGTGGTTGATTCGTAATTGGATTTACAGCAAAATAATCGGGACGTAAAAGTTTTTTGGTAGATTTATCCCACACTCCATGTGCTGCCCATATGCATTCACCTCGTGGAAATTCATCGGATTTCCTCCAACTATATCCTTCAGGATCCTTTTCTAACCAAGCCGCCTTTCCTTTTGGATCAATATATTCACTTCCTGTTTTACCAAATCCATACCAACGTATGTCCCATGATTCTACCTTACATGGATTTCCTTCTCCCAATAACATTGATTGAAATGGTGTCGGGGTAATTCCTCTTCTATATTCTTGAAATTCTGGAAATTTATTTAAATCCTTTGTTCCGACCCATCCCCAACTTGGTTCGTTCATTGTATCATATCCAACTACAACATTATCCGCCAAATTTGCTTCCACTATTCTTTCCGCTAATGCCTTATATGAATTACAGAAATGCGTTTGCAAATATTCTTGTATGTTCATGTCATCAACTATACATTTTGGTGCAAATATGCTTCCCGCGTAAAATAATGTAAACATTGTTGACGCGGCTAATTTATAATAATTTGTTGACCAGATCATTTTAGGAAATTCCTTTGGTTTATCAAATGTATTATGCACAATTGCTGCTGCTGTTTCTGAAAAATTCATCATGTTGAGTCCGGCTAATTCAAGAGTCCATCCTGGGGCTCCTGATCCACCAGAAAATCTGCTCCACTAATGAATCGAAAGGGAAAAAGAAAAGGTAATGTAAGCAAATGAAATATCAGAATCATCCCCAAAAAGATTCCTGCCTAAAAGAAAAAAAAAAAAAAAAAAAAAACTAACCACGTCTTGATGAGGATCAATGAAACATTTAAACCCGTATTCTTTGGCTTTATGTAGGATTTTTATAATGTAATCAAAAAATTCAAAATCATATTTACCGGGTCCTTCATGTTCAATTGCTTCCCATGTTATAATGAATCTAAGGAAATTAAAACCCCATTGTCTTAGTCGTTGAAAATGTTTGTCAGCATCTTCTAACGGAAAGGGTCTCCCTATGAAACTGGCTTCTCTGTGATTATAAAAATCTTTTCGTTGATGTGAAGGAATTTTTGAAGGATACGAAGGATTTTTTGAAGCACCCGACAAATTTATTCCCCTTAATAATATTGTTCTATCTGAAATATCTTTGATATATTTGCCTTTTATATGAAGTATATCATTTTCTATATTTATTGTTGCTATTGAAGAAGAAGTTAATGTTGAATGTGCTGTTATAGTGGTTTCAGAATTAAATCCGATCGAATCCTTTCTAATCATTTTTTACCTTAAATTTTCGAAAGGGGGATTTCTTTTGATAAAAAAATTGGGGAAAAGGAATATGATTTTTTTCTCTAATAAAAAAAAAAAGGGAACGTTTTATATTTATTTCGGCTCATTTGAAACTAAACCATTTTAAAAATAATTTTATGTAAATCAAAGATTCAGGATAACTTAAGGGGATTATGATGGTATTACGAATTCAAAACCTTGGCGTAAAAATTGAATTTCCCGAATCTGGAACTGATACTAAATTTCATGCTTGTATGAAACGGGATTTTAAGCGGTGAATAAATTTGGTAAACAATATGCAGTGTTTACGTATCACAGGTATTACAATAATGTTTAAGTTTGAAGATTTTTACCCAACTTATTTTTTTAAACAAAAAAAAAATGAATTTTTTTACGGCATTATTTTTCTTAACTATTTTTGCTAATCATGTTCAAGGTAATTTTACTTTATTTCATTTTTTGTTTTTAATTAATTCTGTTTTTTCTCATTACATTTATAAAATTAATGGTATATTAAAAGAAAAAATTTTTTAATACACTACAATTACCCATTAGGAACGTATAGACCCGTTGTATTATGGCATGGAATGGGTGATAATTGTTGTGATGATGAAAGTATGGGAAAAGTTCAACAAGTGATTAAAGATGCGTTACCTGGTATATATACATATTCTATCATGTTGGGTGATAATGAACGTGAAGATAAAAAGTTCAGTTTCTTTGGTAATATTAATGATCAGGTACGGAATCTAACTTGAATTGTTTGATTTAAATGATATTAATTGAAAATTTTGTTATATTTTATTTTATTTTTATTTATTTATTATTTTTTTTTTTTTTTTTGTGATGATTAGTTGATAAAAGTTTGCGATCTTTTAAAAATTGATGAAAACTTAAAATATGGATTTGACGCTATCGGATTCTCTCAGGTAAAGTATATATATTTTAAACTTGAAGAAAGTCGTCATTTATTTGATTAATTTTCTCTTACTGATGTAGGGAGGCCAATTCCTTCGGTATAAGTTCACAATTTAACATTTTAATCGCAAAAACTTACGCGAAGTTAACTTAATACTTTTCCTCTGGTTTAGCGCGTATGTACAACGATGTAATGATCCCCCGGTACACAATTTAATTACATTTGGATCACAACATTCTGGTATATCAGATTTGCCAGGTTGTGAAAAGGGTGATGGGTTATGTCAATTAATGAGAACAATTGCACGTCGTGGAGTTTATTCAAATTATGTTCGTACTCACATTATCCAAGCTCAATATTATAAAGATCCAAAAATTTTAGATATTTACTTGGAAAAAAATATTTTTTTACCCGACATCAATAATGAGCTTTTTAAGAATGAAACGTACAAAACAAACTTGCAATCTTTGAACAAATTAGTTTTGATTAGATTCACCGAAGATAAAACCGTCGTACCTAAAGATAGCGCGGTATGTGTCATAAAGGAGAGATATGGGGGTGATCAATAGAAAAGGGGGAAATCTACAAATTTTGAATAATTTTAGTTATTAAGCTAGTTTTGTTCACATGAGCTTGATCAGCAGAGTGAACCAATTGACTAAAATGTGAATTTCACCCTTTTTCTACTGACCGCCTCCCTAATGAGAAATTAGTAAGAAAGTTTTTTTCCTAAAATATTTTAATTCAATTTTTTTGTAGTGGTTCTCTTTTTATAATTCAGAGGGGGAATTATTGGACCTTTTCCATCAACCTATTTATACTGAAGATTGGATAGGTTTAAAATCTTTATACGAAAATGGTAAACTGGAATTTAAAGATTGTGAAGGTGCTCATGTAAGTGTGATAGAGATCTTGTTAGGAGAAAATTCTCCCTTGAGAGGAAATGAGCTTAACTTTTGTCTTGATTTTGTAGATGCAAATACCATTAGAATATCTTATCCAGCAGGTTATTCCTTATTTGGGTTCTGATATTGATGATGAAGAAGATTATCGAGATAATATTTTAATAGAACAAAATAATAATGATGGAAATACGAGATTATCATTAAATATTCAAATTTAACTTTACAAATTAGTATAAAGGATTGGGATTGGTTTTGTAAATTTAAAGGGTTCAGGTTTAATTAATTAATTATTTTATTGTAATACTTTTTAATAAAAATTGTTATGATGTATTGTAATTGAAAGATCCGGTTCAAATTTTCTGATTTGGATACAATATGAAAAATATTATCACGTTCACTGATATTGTAATAAATTGATAGTTCAAATAATTCAAAGCAATTTATAAAACAGAATATTCCGAAAATTAATATTACAGAAAAATGAATATTTTTTACGTGAACTTCATGCTCCTTTATAATAAGTCGCCTCACATAATTATTGTGTAAGAAAGTTCGGTATGAGAATTATTCTTGGCACGACATAATAAATATTATGACGATTGACCCGATCGCTAAAAAAAATATTGGTCACGTGCGTTTCTTCTCAATAATAAAATAAAAAGAAAATTAAAACTTGCGGACATAAAATTATTTGCTGATCATTAAATGAAGAAGTGGACTACAGCATTTATTATGTGTGTAAATGACCAAGTAATGATCAAAGTTAATGATCAAATGACTCATAAATATATATATATATATAAATATTCCTTTCTACGTGAATTTTGATTTTAAAACTTAAAACTTTTCTCTAATATTAAAACATTATGTTTTTCTCTAGAATTTCTAACAATATGGTTCGTCGCAACATCACTGGTAAATGATTTATTTATCTATGATTTTGCTATTCTGTATTCAATAACGTGTTTTTTTTTTTTTTTTTTTTTTTTTTTTTTTTTTTTTTTTTTTTTTTTTTATATTGATTTATTTTTTTTTTTTCCTTGCTTTCATTTTTGTTGCTCTTTTTATTTTTTTTTATTGTTTTCTTG